AACGTTGTGATTTTCACTTTCAGCAGTCAGAGCGAAATATTCTGCCATACAACCATGTCTACGAAATTGTTAATAACTAGCAGTTCCCTGATTTGTATACAAGGAATTTAATTTTTTTAAATAAAATTTTAAATTTAAATTTTATAAATAAAAAAATAAATGATATAAGAGTTTTTTTTTTTTTTATAAAATCTAATATAATTTAATTTTAAATTAATCAAAATTTAATATAATTTCTAAATATTAAGAGTGGTAAAACAAAAAAATAAAACTGTTAATATGGTACAAAGAGTTCATTACGTGCTCATTATTATTATTATTATTATTTTATTTTGATTGTATAATGAAAAGTAATTATCTCTCATCTCTTATCCTATCCCACCTGCATACTAATGATCTAAATAATTCAATGATCATCTCATTTCGTTAAAAATAAGAAATCATCATTATTTGGCCAAAAATAAATGTGCTTATAATTATTAGTGTGTATAACTAATGTACTTTTCTTTTATTTTATAATTAAAATATTTTTCAATTATAAATTATTTATTATTCAAATTATTGTTTTATAAAATACATCAAAAAAATAAAATGAAAATGTATCTCAAATTATAAGATTGCAGCCTGTAACATATATATAATTAAACCCTTAACTGTAAAAAAAAAAAATTCCCAAATAATTTTCAAAAAGCAAAGACTTAAAGTGTGTAAAAGAATCCAAAATCCAGTAAAAATAATTTTAGGGAAATGAAATTAAAAGAAAAATTTTGTAAAATTTTCTATAAGACCTCCTAAGATTCTAATTCAGATTTTCTTTTAAAAAGTAATGGAAGTAACTAGCCCAAGATTAAGTTTAGTAATTTTAAAAAGGTTGGGGACCATTTTTGGTCCATCTGGAATGCTAGAATGATATCTAATATTTATGGTAAAAGTTGAAAACTAAATCTAGTATTTACTTTCTTTCTTTCTTTTTTTTTTTTTTTTATCTTGAGATTAAGAATTGTTA